TGGCCTCTGGATCATTACAATCAAATACATCTTCCAAAATTGATTTATATAATTTATCAAGTGGCAACAAATCTTGGCCATGACTGGGAGAAAGTGACATAAAACGTTCAAAGCGCTTCTTAACTGTCAGTCCTGCTTTACCCCTTCCACGCAGTGCCTCGCATGCTGTATAAGCCCATTGAAAAAATCCCTGCGCTTTTTCTGCAAGAATATGGCATTGAGATTCATTGAGAACACCTGGAGCACCTTTCCTTGTCATCATCCTGTGAGCTACATATTTGTGTATATCCTCTTGTGTCTGTTGAAGATTGCTCATGTACTGAGCTTGAAGCAATTGTGTATCTAAACCTTCATTAACAGCTGCATATATATCACCCTCCATTCTGGATGTGACAAGAACATGGAAGTTTTTGGGAAGCTCACAGACACTGTTAATTAATAATGACATTAACATGTCTCTTGGCCCACCCTCTTCTTTAGGCCCACATTCATCAAGTGCATCAATTATAATCACAACAGGTCTGCTTGGAGTGATAAGCTTTGCAGGTGCTATAATGAGTTTATTCCACTGCTCCTTGAGACTCATGCTAGTTGAGATATTTGGGTCAACATCTAATATCTCCACTAGGCCCTTTCCAAATTCTGGAAAACTAATGCTAAGATTATAAGCAATTGTTTGCAATGCTTTGCTTGGTGTACGTTCAGCAGCAAAAGTGCGGTCAAAACAAAAGAATGCCCCTAGACAATTTGCATCCTTTGCATTCTGCCCAATAGTATGACTTATGGTTGACTTGCCAGTCCCTGCCTCTCCACACAGGAAGAATGGTTTGGAAACCTCATTATCTGTGTTGTGAATCCATTCCAGTATATCAGCTGTAATTCCTACCCTGGTGCCCTTCAAGCAGGTCTTGTCTGGATTAAGATGAGCACCAGCAATAGGCTTCAACTCTGCTTGGAGTTTGTGCTTGGCTATAAATTATCATCAGTTTAAGAAGAAAAAAAGGAGCATGAAATTTAGTATTGAGCTTACTCGAATGTTCATTGATATGTATATTCTGCGCATTCATGAACTGAGGATTGTGCATCTCAAAATTGGAGGCATTTGGAAAATATCTGGATCATTCATTTTGCTTTATTTTCGTTGAATCAACACAATTTTAAAAGATACTTACACGTTAGGAGGAACAGGCTCTGCAGTCATGATGGGAAAGATGATGAAGAGGAACAAGTCTATCCACACTTTTATACTGCTGCGATGAACACATGACAGCTCATCGACATTTGAAAATGAGCGCTCGGAGCGCTCGGATCGGATGCGTAGATCTGTATCTCTGCTTATCATAATTCAACTCCACCTTTAGACTAGACTCGCGGCGCCAGTGGATGACTTCCCGTAGCATTCTGTAGCTAAATCCGAGCTACAAACGACGAAAAATCCGCATCAGCCGCAATGCCGATGCTCCCATCAACGAAATTGCAAATTCAGAGTTGGTTAGAAACTTTACATCTGTAGAAGGGTCCGGACCCTCCTACAGACCGTTTTTGCGCTAGAAATCAATGGAATTTCACATCCATCAAAGATGAGATCAGTTTCATTCCCTTTTTGGGCTGTTTTTGGCATATACATGTATTATTCCACCGCTCAGCAAAGCAATTCCGGCCTTCCAAGATGTAGCGGAATGTCCCAACATCGAACCCCATTGTAGTTATGAGTGAACGGTCATCCTGAGCTGCCCAAAGTTGTTTCCAAGGTGAGTCGAGACAAGGGAATGGCAGATACAAATGTAAAAAAGAGTGGTAAGCAGAGCAAGCTGCTGCAGGTATGCTTTATTGTCCAAGTCCAAGACTAAGTCATCTTCCTGCTGGCGTTGCAGGACTACATCCATAATCAGACAGCGAAAGTGATAAAATTTGATATCTAGGAAAGCTATAGCGCTACGGGATGCACATGTCTACAAATTCGGTCTACAAATTTTGCATCAAAATCTGATCAAAATTTTGTAGCTCGGCGATAACTACAAAAATCCTACGGGAAGTCACCCAATACTGTACGAGGCTGACAGTGATGAAACGTTCGTCCTTTCTCAGACGAGCGATACGTCGAAGGGTGTCTACGCCGAGACGATGTAGGATGGGACTTATCGTCACACTGAAAGATATGAGTTAGCGTACATAACGAGCGATAGATGCTTACCAAGTAATTGCTCCAGGCTTCCGGCTGTACTTATAATGATCCCTAGTAAGAGTACACATAAACTTGGAATAAGGAAATCCGTCTCAGTCACTTGGTTGATAGCATCTACAAACTGAAAAAGCGTCAGCAACTGCACACCCAATGCACACCGTCGTGAAAATGGACGCGTACTATTCCCAAACCATCCGAGTTCAAAAAGACACTCACTGCCGCAGGATCCTCCCATAACCACCGACATAAAAGATTCAAATATCCCACAATCAATCGATTCCATTCTTCGTGATCGTCAACGGAAACGAAAAAGTTACCGCTGGCTATGGAGAATGGTATTTAGGTTGGGGGTTGGGATTGATAGACCGTGCGAGGGTTTTACAACGAGATGAACGCAGCAAATGAGAAAGCTGGTGATGTTCGAGGGACCAGAAGTTTGTGGTGACATTGAGAGCGCTTGAAGGAGAGGCGTTGACGGAAGTAAGAGAACGATGTTGTTCTAAAGATTGAACGATAAAAAACGAAGCAACGACCGTGTACCCCTCTCTTTCGCCTCTGGTTCATTCTCAGATACGAATTCGATATGGCAAGCTTCCGACGCCAAATAAGACTAGTTTACGATTTGTCGAATCTCAGTCGTTCCTGGCCTTCCAGGGATTGGTCTATCATCAAACTGGAATATACCTAAGCCTGCTTCCTTGGAAGGCGATTACGGAACTGGGATTATAATTTAGGTTTGGATTCGAGTCATGCTCGACGATGCCAAGATCTATTTTCCTGAATAGTTCGTTGTAAACCGTACTAGAAATTTATGCTTACTTCTCTCCAACAGTCGAGAATCGTAACGATAGTCCGAGTGTATTAGTACGGTGACATACGGCCTTCGAAGTCTGGCCGAGGTTTATGAGCTTCGGTCAATTTATTGAGTGGAAAAACGGAGAAACGAACCCAGGTCTGAGCCTTTGGTCGAAAAGAGAAAGATTTTCTCTGGTACTAGTGTGGCGTAAGTAACTTGTTTCCTTTTCCATACCACCATGACGTGTTCACCAGCTAGCTGTTCGACGACAAATGAAAAAAAGCTCATTTGTCTTTATAGGTCTGCGTTATTTTGTGCTTTACTTTGCGACTCCGTAGATTCAAATCGAACGAGAGAAAACTGGAGCTAGCAGCTAGCAGCTTGGTTCGGTCCGAAATACTTACATTCGGCCGCGGGAGGAAGGTCTTCGGAATCGCATGAATTTAGGCCAAGGAAGCAGCGGAATCGCATGAATTTGGCCAAGCAGCCGAGAAGCTATGTACCTCGGGAGTTACCCTATGGTTAATTTATATTTAATCGGATCTCAGTTTGGCTTGGCCAGCGCATGTCACGTCAAAGGCTCGCTGCCAGCCAGACGTCCCTATAAAGGCTTATTCTCTTTTCTCTCTTGAACCACGACGACGACGAGTCAAAGCGGTGTACGCAGGAGCACTTCCTATGGCACAAGGCTGGCATGACAAATTCTCTCCTCCTTCTCCTTCTCCAACCAGGCCAACGTTGACTCGGAAGCCTTCGTTTGAAACACCCCTCTCTCTCTTCCTCTTCGCTCTTTCCCTCATAACATCCATCGTCATCTTATCTGAATTCGTGGTTTCCTATCCCAGAATCTTCCTCTCATTCGTCTTACCATACGCATCCAAGCAACAATTAGACCTCGCCGAATTCACGCTTGAAACCAAATTGGAGACTCTCGAATGGCACACGCAGATTCATGCCAGCGCGTTGGCGTTTGGCGCTCTGGTATTTGTGTGGTATAGGATTATTATCCTTGGTTTGGAGAGTTTGATTGAATTAGGGAAGTTGTTCGGGTTAGAGTGTACGACTACGAGCAATTCTGACGATGAAGATTCGGGTTCTGGTTCAAATGCATGCGTAGAGAAAGAGAACGAAAGCCCGGATTTCGTGACGGGGAACTCTCGGAACAAGCATGCTTCACTTACACGCGTCTGCGTGTCGATTCTTCTCGGAATCATCATTATTAACGATTGCATCTTCAATCGAACTCGACTTTCCGTCTCTGCATCTTCCCTCTCCACATCCGACATAAATCCAGCCATTTCCCTTTTCGTCGAAATCAAACTCATACAAACCATCCTTCCTGGCTCCATTCTCCCCGGTGCTATCACCCGCCTAATCTCCATGGCTAGCCGCGCATTCCCCATATGCGTAGCAGAGGTTTCGGTATTGTTTCTGGTGCTTTATGGCATTGGTTGGGTTTCCTATTACCGCTCGGATGAGCGATCGAGTAGAACGACTACCAGCAGGAGCACGGAGTCATGATCGGGCATGGACTCGCCAGTCCTACCTTTTCTCCCCAGTCCCTATTCCGATTCCGATGCTCTCCCGAGGTATTCCACGAATACCTAAGACCGTGTCGTACCACTCTTTCGTTCATGCTTATCGAGAGGTACTCGGATGGTACCTGTCACAGTGATGAGAAAATATCTCTCGATTTGTTGAGGAAAGACGATGAGGCGCTGCAATTAGGCTGGTTTTTTTTGGTCTGGGTCTCAAGCGTCGTTCATGTTGTCCACATCCCTTCTTCTCGCTATGATCCGGGTTTGATTTTCTCTTTCTATTTATTTTCCTTTGGGTCGGGGTTCATCTTGCACATCTTTCTTTCTGTCATCAGCCTCAATTTTATTCTGGGTAGAGTGTCGGAAACGCGAAATGTATTCATAATGTACTAATAAATCACTTATTACTGGAAGTTGAACTGTTTCTTCTTCCCATCTTTCATTTAGCGGTCTAAGTCGATTCGTCTGTTGAATCTTCAACTCCCTGGTAGTATATCGGTTAGTACACGCGCCTGTCATGGTTGCGGTTGAGCCAGTTATTTGCGCGCGAAAGCTGGGTTCGACTCCCAGCCAGGGAGTTTCCAGATCTTTGGAGAGTGATACTGTTTTTCGTTTCGCTTGAAACTTGAAGAGGATAGTGTATATACATAGCTGTTTTTACACCTCGACATCACACCAACTGAAACGTATAAGCCTAACAGGATGGTCCCCACATGCCAGGCTCCCTCCCCTTGATTCACGTATTACCGCACACTCCGAATATTTCGATGAATAATGCTAGCTAATATCAATTAGGAAGGAGTCCAGATAGACCCATAGATCCCTCACATAAGCCTGACAATGCGTGATTCCGTTTGACGGACGTTCCTCCGGCAACAAATGCCTTCCGATCTGCATCTTGCATGGTCAGGCATCTTATCGTCATCCCGCCCTTCACCCGCCCTTCATCCCGCCCTCCTCTTGCTAGCTGCCACCTTCCCAATTTTGACTTGACTTAATAACAAATTCAATTTTTGCGTTTGGATTGCAGCTCTTGCAGAGCTCCCGTAGTCTTTTTCAACCCCGATTTATGGCGAAAGGTGAATTGATTCAGCGTACAGTACGCTCATATGTCGGCAGTGGGAGGTTTGGAAAAAGGCCTGGCGTAGCTTGTACGTTAGGTCCTCGCGCTATGGCCAAGCAACGGGCGGAAGCACAGTCAAGAAGAACGCAAGCATCGCAAGGTGCGTCTCCGCTATGTATAAGTGAATGAACAACACTAACTGTACCTCAAGGCCTCAGCACCGAATTGCAGAATGCTTTAGGAGATATCTCTGGAGACACACCTCAGATTCCTGATGCTATGGATGTTGACGGCCTTGGGTTTGATTTCAATGTTGGAGGAGAACCGGGCGACGATGACAGCGACACGGAGCTCGGGTCCACTCAAGGTATTGTAGTAGACCTACAAGACTACATTGGCATTAACAAGTGGCATGGCCATCGCAAATACAAAGACACGCGCACCTGGAAGCAGCGTATTAACCGATTCCATGATGCGTGGGCTTCCATCCTTGACGAACTAGTCGTTCACTACATCAATTGGAAGTATTACCCCTCCTCTGTACCGCAGTCTTCTGCCACTGCTGGTTGGGAGTTCTCTATTCCAATTGTTGACGTATACTCTCTCGCTCGCGAAACAACCATCCATCGAAACAGCGAAACGAAAGCCACCTCAGCCCTTGTCAGCGCAGGATACCTGGCTGCTTCACCTGAATCACCCTCTCTTGCTGTCTCACTTCGAACTCTGGAGCTCTTCTATGCCATCCGACTATTCAAGCCTAACTTTAGCGTTGAAGCTTTCGCCAAAACCACTTGTCATTTATATGCTGTGGGCAATCTTATTTAATGCTGCTTCACTTTGCGCTAACCACTCTGCAGATCCCATACCGCCGCTCATACCGAACTGCACTCTCTGACGCATTCGACGTTTACCTAGCCATACTACGGAAGGTCGACACCCGCGTTTCTGCCGAGCTAGGACACAACACACCGGATTACCGCGCACTCAATAGCTGCCCACCTTGCACCTATGAGGTATGAAATCTGGGACTTAGTATGTCTCATCCAACTGATGTTATTTCAGCTTGAAGGCGAACCCCCACTAAAATTCTCTCGTATGGTCGTCGTCGATGGCAACAACTCGCTGAAACGCATGGATGGCGTTGGCAAACGTGAAGTTGCAGACACCCGCGTCTTTGGCGAGAGTGACTACTACCTCAGTGAGGAATTTGTCAATACTTTTGCCGATGAAGTTCCTGCACGCCGCTCTCAGTCCAAAACAGCCATAGAAGACAGCGAAGAAGGCTTCGGGACGCCAGAAGAACATGGAGACCCAACCGATGGAGACCCAGACCCCAAAATTCACGAATGTGCCGATAACTGGAAGGCTGCAGTGGCAGACGGCGCAAAGAAGATGTGGGATGCGTTCCGTGAGTCTGGGTATTTTGCCATGGCCTGTCGGCATGGTTTTGTACTGTGGGTAGCAGATATGATACGGAGTGGGGAACTGTGCGTTCTATTTTTTTCTTCTTGATGCATACTCAACAATGATCTTCCAGAGCAAAATACCCACTCGCTATGGTAGCAAAAACACTCAAGGTTTTCGGTCCTGCGTGGATATTGGGCTACAATATTGGCTGCAGCTTCAGCAGCACAATACGCAGCAGTTCGCTAGGGTCTGAGTTCAAGCAGAAAGGGTGCCGGACCTGCGTGAACGCATTTCATGGATACTCACACTGCGCTATTTGCCAGCAGAAATTTCACCCTCTCAACATCCCTGGCATGGGACTAGAGGACCTCGAAACCCTAGAACGACTCTTCTCCTCCTCGAACCAGCTTGCTTCTATCACGCGGTACATGAGTCCTCATCGACGTCGCATTTTCATTGATCTATTTCTCCAACAATGGGATCGTGAAAAGTATCAAAATCTCGCCACAATGCTCCACAACAACTACATCCAAGCCCTCGATATTCTGAAATTCGAACTTCCTGCTTTCAAGGCCGACCTTCAGGCACTGAATCTCACTGAGGGAGATATTGATACGTATCTCAATGATGAAGAGCGCCACCTATCTACTCTGGGCAGCGAGACATCGGAGGACCTCCATGCTGTCGCGTACATTGAACTGCTTCGAAAGTACAGGGAAATCAAGTGCATTTCAGATATTTGATTTTGCATATATTTTCTGATTTTCAAGTTCGCAACATAGCACCAGTTACGAAAACGCAAGCACAAGCTTTCGCCTCCATACTCCCTCTGACTACCAGTTCCTTTCCAACGCCGCCTCGTACAACGTCAACCTCTCTGAAGGCCGGAAAACAGAAACCCGATGTCGCTTCCTTCTTGAGCAGAGGGACAAGGTTCTATTCGAAATCGTTCAAATGGAAACGGCAATGAACGTTGAGCGTCGATGGGAGCCGCATGACCTGGAGTACAAGAAGGCAATGGAGTACCTCAACACCCGTAAGTATCGACAAGCACTAGAACACCTACAGAAGCTGGTGGTCCAGCGGCTATTCGAGCTTCACAAGATGAGCCTTTCCAACACAGGTATGTGAATTGGAACATTAAGATTTCAGCTGAGCTATATACTTATGTTGCAGGATACAAGATGCGCACACATATAGCGAACGCCCTTCAACGCCGCTCCCAGGCTATTCGAAATGCTGTCAAATCATACAATACCGCCGCCTCAGCACTCACCCCTCCCCGTGACACCTTGGACTGGACAAAGGTGTCCCATTTTGCATTCCTTGACCAGTTCAACATCCTTCAGGACACACAACACAGTGTCTTCGATCAGCCATGGGCCAAGCCAGTCAACCGTAGTCTCATGAAACAACACCGTCGAATCCAGCGTGCTCGCGAAGAAATCGTACAATGCAACGTTGGCATTCGACGCCTTCATACCTCTATAGTTGACGAAGGGAAATGTTTCGATGCTGTTCTCGAAAGGCTGACAGACTCACCAACGTTAGGCCCCGTCTCCGACTACATACATCGCCGTCGAGCAGTGAACCGGCTGTTGCTTGCGCGCATTTACCAGACCTATGATTTACCAGGTTTTACAGGTGATCCTTCTCCCGGGAAACGAAAGGGCGCGGTTGATACAAATCTGCCTGAGCCCAGCTCACATGCTCTAGACCCTGAATCCGACGATGGAGGAGACGAAGAGGATGACAATTTACTGAAGGTGTAGGGGCGATTGTAGACTTTATGTCTAACATGTCTGTGCAGTAATTTCAGTCTCTGCATAACTCGAAGTTTTTTTATGAAGTTTCATTAAAGTTCCATAATCTACAAGCTCGATGGATGGTTTTTATTTGCTATTGCAACAACCAATCATATTGAGAATGAAATTCAGAGATTGTATATCTCAGATATGCGCATGCTGCACCTGGCGCAACAATATTTGCAGATCAATATCACATACCCCGCCCATTGCTGCTATCCTCCTACCACCATCCTTCCCACCTCGCACTACCGTCTGACAACTCATGCCTTTGCCCAAAAGCACAACACTCCTGGATGAACATTTACTAGATTATTTCCATGAACACGAAGGCAATAACCCTGGAGAATCAAATGAGTGAGCTTAACATTGCCATGTATCAGTACTGCTGGCCGCTTAGACTTTACTAAGAGCACGCATTAATGCACTGGCCAGTTCAAAATCCTTACAAGTCATGCCAGAACAACATCAGCGTATAGAGCAGTATGCGGCGCATAGGGAATCCAAGAAAGTACAACGGTGCATACTTTTTCTCCTAACTCGAAACGGCACAGCTGAAACGAACCACAGGAAACAAGCAGTAAAAGTAGCTGAGGCAGAAGAGGATGATGCTTGGGAGTGGGACGCAAAGGAGAAAAGAGTTCGGGTGCTTGAGAAATGTACGTTAGTGGAAAATTCATATGGAACAGGAAGTACATGGATTCATGATAGCACTCCTTCCAATGTGCCTTTGACTTGAGCTGTGCTTACTACTTAGTAGCAGTAGTCTCAGTTTCAATAACGTTACGTTGCAATCTCATAATAGAGGGATTCAAGCACATTGTATTTCGTACAGGACTTGAGCCGTGCTTGCTACTTACTAGCAGTAGTCCCAACGCTTTGTTGAAATCTTATAGAGGGACTCAAGCATGCTTTGTTTTGTACAGTACCTTGAGTCACAGTATTTCGTACGAAACTTGAGCCGCGCTTGCTGCCTACTAGCAGTAGTCCCAACGCTTTGTTGAAATCTTATAGAGGGACTCAAGCGTGCTGTATTTTGTACGGTACCTTGAGGTCAATAGAAAGATCGGCCCATGGGTGCTTAACTTATGAAGCTCCCACCTGCACTGTCGGCATTGCGCCTCTACACCCGCCTTTTGGTCTCCTGGCATTTCTATGCACTCAAGTGGAGGCGCATTGCTGCCTAATGGTGTATTCATGTCTCCTAAACCCTAATATGATCTCTTTTCTCTTAATTTTATATAGGCAGCGGCCCTATAACCTAAAGAACTCAGAAATCAGACCAGCATCAGAACAAACAGTT